CCAGGCCAGTAACCCACATCCACCAGCACAGACCCTCCCCCAGCCCTGCTGCATGCAGCCATCAAGAAAACACCATCCAAGAGCCACCAGAGCCCCAACCAGTTCATGACCCCGGGTTGAACCCTCCAGGAAAAACGTCCCGAGGGAATCCCCAGACATTCAAAGCCTGTACCTACCCCCACATCAACCACAATAGTGAAGGGTGGACCCAGTCTGTGTATCTGAATTGAGCTCTAACCAACCTTAGATCTCATTGCAGGATTACATGAATCCACATACAGTATTAAGAGGGGTGTAAAATGGAGAGAATGTCGTCTCTGGGAGTTTAGCTGATTTATAGTGGCACGGTATGGTGGTCGTGTTCCGGTTAAAGAACACGGTGGCAGCTTCCAAGTTGATTTATTCAGCTGTGGTCTGTAGTAATGATACGTAAAGCAACTATCAGTACAGCACGCGTCAAACATTTGACACACCCAAACAAAATTTTAGCAAAGAGATTCAACACTCACGTTGATACGTGTCTGCAGGCTGCATGTTCTCTTTCCCTCTCCTTTTGTTTGCCATTCCCTTAGGTCAGCGGTCCCCAACCCCCGGGCCTTGGACCGGTACTGGGCCGCGAGTCGTTTGGTACCGGGCCGCGAAAGTTGAGGCTCAGGTGTGAAATGTATAGTTTTCAGGGTTTTTATTGGTTTTCAGTGTTATTTTGTTATTGTTTTTATTGTTAACTCGGTTTTCCTGGGTCTTTTCACGTGTGTTATGAATAAATCTTCTTTTTTTCGGTACTGGTACTGGTTTTATTTTGTTGTATTTATCCGCGACAGCTTAAAGGCCGGTCCGTGAAAATATTGTCGGGCATAAACCGGTCCGTGGCGCAAAAAAGGTGGGGGACCGCTGCCTTAGGTACACAGACTGCATTCTGCTGTCAATTTGGGGATCTCCAGCTAATTACAGGAAGGAGGCGTGATTGGACAAACCAGGAGTGCACACCTTAATAAGGAGACTCGCCTGTGGTTGGGCGTTTTCTCCCTTCCTTGCTTAGAATTGTTTGGCACAAATCTCCTCTGCTGTATTTCTTTTGTTTGAAGGCTGTGGTGTGAGTAAAGGGGTCTAGGTTAGTCTGGGGACCCCATACACCTACTCGTGTAGTCTTTTCTGTTAGAAACATTAGGTAAGTAGATTGTTCGCACCCATGTAATTTTTTAGCTTGTTTTGAGTTGAGGATTAGCCCCCTGGAGTTTACCTGATGTCAGTGGTGACTCCAGTGCCATTGCTTGACTGTCTAGTGACTTTGGAAGGGTTGCATTGTCAAGAAACTGATCACTTTCAGTTTTAGATGGGTTTATTTGTGGTGAGTATTAATAGTTATTAATATTTAATAAGAAGTTATTAATAATTTCATTGAATTCTATTGTATTATTTTTTTGGTATTTATAGAACTAAGTTATTCTGATGTGCCACCACTTTGCTGAGGTCTGGAAAACAACCCAGACGGTCACCCTTCAGATAAGAGGAAAGTGTTATGACCTGGAAACTGTTGGAACACCAGCGTCACTGAACTGTCCGACACAGTTTCAAGTTACTGTGCACTGAGAAAATCAGTGCCTTCAGGCGCCACTGAAGTGTGCAGATACCTCATAAACAAGCCAAGTTCCTTCTGCAGGTTTGTGGTCAGCAGACACAAAGGTTGAGCTGTTTGGCCCCAACAACAACAGGTATGTTTGGATGAGTAAACACTGTACGGTCTGTCAAACATGGCGGTGGTAGCATCGTGCTCTGGAGCGTGCCAGTGATAATGGTACACTGGACAAAGTGGATGGAATAATGATTCAAAGTAATTATTAGAAACCCCCAAATTTCCATGGCAGGATGCTCCAGATGAGTAGACCACGACTATAGCTGCACATTCAGCCCTTGAGTGGTAATCTGGCTTATTGGGCCTTTGCCCAATGGGCTGATGCAACTGTGGGCCAATAGAATGTTGGTTTCTTTGAGTCAGTCCATAGCCTGCATAATTGTATTGACAAAGTGCCAGTGCCCGCCCGCTTTACAAACTGTCACATGCTGGACTGCTGTGAAACTAAAACAACGACGACTGCACCAACTTGGCTAAAAAGACAAATTGCTTCAATATCAATAATCAAAAGTATT